TGAGATAGATCAAGAGAGACAGACAGAGAGACAGATATAGAGTCAGAGACACAGACGCAGAGAGTCAGACAGAGAGACAGAGACAGAGAGAAGTAGGAAGAAGGAAAGGAGAAAGAGAGGTTGGGGTTACAGTATCTCTTTCAAGGGCATTTCCTTAATGCTCTAAGTTACTTCCCTAGCCCACAAGTCCTAAAAGTTCTATCACTTCCCAATAGTACTCAGGGCTGAAAATACGTTTGCCTTTGGGGGGCATTCAAGATCTAAACTGTAGCATTTCTTTTCTATTGTGAAATTTATAGCTATTTCATGCCGCTAACTCTGGATGCCAACAATTTGCACGCTTGCACAAGGCTAGAGAAATACTAGATGTCTTCATCCTTCTTTGAAATTCCCTGCATTTGGCAAGCTTTGTGATTTAGAAAATATTGTAAGTGCAGTGGGTGTTGGGATATGAGTAGGCTTCTTTGCTGAAGAAATAAATTTTTCTTTAACTACAGTACCTCTTTCAAGAAGAACTTAAACCTAATGTTAATTTTTGGCTTTATTTTTAGTATTTTTGGTAATAATGTGTCTCCCAAATATTTGTGATAAAGAAAAATGTAACTGTTTTCGATGAAGTCCAATTAGATAAAATTCAATTTGTGTATTTTCTGTTTCATGTTTTTCTGTCTTATGTTTTCACTAAGACATTTTTCTCAAGCATTTTTCTCTCATGTTTTCTCTTAGTCATTTAAAATTTTATCTTTAGATCCATGATTAACTTTGAGTTAATTTTTGTATATAATATGAATTAGAGTTTAACACGAAAGATTTTTATGTAGATATCTAAATGTTCAAATACCTTAAAAATTGTACAGTTTTTTTTGGAATTGAATTACTATGACAACTTAGGTTTTAAAAATTGATGCTATATGTAGTTTTATTTGTGAACTCTTTTTAATTATCATTTTGCCTATCCTTATAGAAATATCATAGTTTTGATTACAGTAGCTTTGTTCCAGCTCAATAAAAATTTTTTAGTACATTTTTGAAATACATAATAGTTACATTTACTGAAAGAAGGTGGTACATGTAACTAATACATCTAAGTTTTCTTTGGTCCCCTCCCTGGTTCTTCCAGCTCTTGGCTTCCTTTCCATTTGCAAAAGCTCTATTTCCAATTTTTTTCTTAAATTCATTTTTCCCATCTCCTTTCCCTGCCCTCCCTCACTCTCTCTCCATTCCTTGTTTCCCCATCCATTTGAAAACTTTCCCACTACTTTTTTTTTTTTTTTTCTGGTACTGGGAATCAAACTTAGAACCTTGTGCTTGCCAGGCAGGGGCTTATGCCTCTCAGCTATATCCCCAGCCCTCCCACTACTTCCTACACATCTTTTATTTGGTCTCTATTTGACTAAGTAGTTTTATCCTAAATCTTGAAGTTATATAAAATAATTGCTCTAAATTTGACATCCTAAAACAAAGTAGTTTTTCAAATTTATTCTATATCCATTTTTTCTGACATGTTTTGGATAAATATTGCATTTCATTTTTAAAAACAGACTTCTTAAGTTTTAACCATATGCTATGCACTCTAGCAAGACCTGCAAATTATTTCTCATTACTTATTCTCATTGTTCTCCATTTCTTTAATTTCCCTTTCAAATCTTTCTCATGATCCATATATTTGTATCTTTCTTTTAGTACATTAGTATTTACTTTAACTGCCTTTCATATGTTTCAACCACTATTTTTATATTTTAATTTTCAAATGTTAGTCTTCTATTACCCAAGGATAATGAGAAGTATTAAGTACAAGTCTTAAGAAACATGCTAATACAGGTCAACAAGAAAATACAAATATGCTACACAATCTCAAATCTTAAATTATCTATAAGTGGAAAGGTGAACAGCAAATTACCACAAAATTATTTCTCAAGTACTTGACTTACATGTTTGAGAATGAAATATAGAAGACATTTGTTTGCAAAATCTTTCTAGAAGATGAAGGATCTAAGATTTTCTAAAAAATTATCTTAAGAAGAGAAAGTGCAATAATAGGCTGACAATTCTGTACAAGAAGCACAGTAGATCACAAAACTCGCCATAGTGAAGAGACAGAATAAAAGATTAAAGGTATACAGAGTTCACTATTGATGATAATTAAAACATGTTGAAGGACGGCAGTAGCTTTTAGAAGACAAGGTACTAAAATGTAAAAGAAAGATATATTTTCAAATTTCCTTCAAGCTGGTTAAGTTGTGTTCATAAGTATACCAGTTTTCAGTTATTGGAAACTGTCATTGTTCTAAGTATCTTTCCTAATAACTTTTTACTTAAATATTTTATATTACTCAAGTCGTTAGAAATAATGATAATGAACATCTTTTCCACTCATTTATCTTTAAATTTTCATTTTCTCACTTAAATGGGGTGCATAATGTCTATCTGGACAAAATAAAATACAGTAATGTGAAGAAAGCTTTTGATTTCTAAATAAATTGGATCAAGATGAGAATGAGGCAAATTTTAGGTTAAAATCAATCACTAGCTTATGTATATATTTTATGATTACTATTATATAAATATATTACAAATAAAATATTGAATATTCATTTTTAAAGAATATTTACAGACAATGACTTTCTCATTCATTATATAACATTAATACTGTGATAAGTATTTTTGATAAGTGTTTTTAGGATTTTTCACTGATATGTGTAAATGAAATTTTTCTATAGTCTTCTTTTCTACTGTCATATTTGATTTTATATAATTTCTTCATAGCTTTTGGACTCTGGAATTTCATTGAAACAATTTTTTATGGGCTTGTTGAATTTTCTCCCAAGTGTATGCAGAAACACTGCACTTTTATACAGTAAAAGGCAGTAGCATAAACATTGTCAAAATTGGAACATAAATAAAAGATGAACACAGAATCATGCTCAGGACAAAGACCCACACTGTGAGATAATAACAATACCACATGAATAAGAAACAGGCATTACAGAAATAAAATATCAAAAAGTTTAATGTGTGAAAAAATGGAGTGTAAGTATAGCAATTTTTATCATTGATTATTTCCCTTTTTCCCTATTCTCATCTTCATGAAAAAAGCTAACTTGAAATCGCAAGCCCATATCCTTAATATAAATCCTTTAAACTGAAATATCCTCATAAAATGCTAGCAAAATAATTTCAATGGCTCATCAAAGAGTTTTTCACCAGGGTCAACTGGGATTCATCCTAATGGCATAATGATAGGTCAACATGTGCAGATCAATAAACATGATACACCACAGCAAGAAAAGGAGGGAGAAACATATGAGCATCTCAATACCTGCAAAAAACCCCACTTGATAAATTCCATGAAGTGCTTGAAAAAAATACACTCAACAAATTATCTGTAAAAGTAACATAATATACTTCAATAAAAGAAAGGCTTTGTGTAACAAGACCACCACTGATAACATCATAAAGAGGAAAAGATAAGTGGTTTCTCTGTAAGATTTGGAACAAGTCAATGATATGTACTTTTGCCACTTTGATTTGACATAAGCAGAACAGTGAGGAATATGGAAAAAAAGCATCCAAAATTGGAAAAAACAAAGTCAAATTATCCCTGCTTTATAAATAGTATGTTCTTACATATATAAAACCCCAAAACCTTCATCAAAAAATCTTTCAAAACAATGAATGTACTTGGGGCTGGGGATTTAGCTCAGCGGCAAAAGCGCCTGCCTGGCAAGCGCAAGGTCGTGAGTTCGGTTCCCGGTACTGCAGAAAAACCAAAAAAAAAAAAAAACAATGAATGTACTTATCAGATTTAGAGGGATTATAGATTTACAAAATCAATATGCAAAAATTAATTGAATTTCTACATGTCAATAGAAAAGTATAGAAATATAGCATAGGGTAAAAATAAATCAATAAAGCAATCCCATTCACAGTGGCTATTAAAAGTCAATAAATATATTCATCTAAAGATGTAAAAGTTCTCTAAAATGACAACTAAAAATGATGAAAGTAGTTAAAGTGAGTACACACATACATACACACAAGCATACAAAAATGGAGGAGTTCCTCAATTTATTGAAATCCAAATAATTAAGGTCTTAAAAGGAAGACCTGAAACTATGAAACTAAGAGAAGAAAACGTAGTGGAAATATTTTATGTCATAAGGATAAGCAAAAATTTTTTTAACATTTAAGATGTGAAAAGTACATGAAACATGAGCAAAAATAGATAAATGGAATCATATCAAACTAAAAAGCCTCTACGTAGAGAAGGAAATAACAGGGAAAATGAAACTTTCAAAATAAAAGAAAATATTTTTAAACTATGTACATAATAAAGAGTTAATATTCAGAATGTACAAGAAATTCCAAAATCTGAATGACAATAACATAAGCAACCTAATTAAATATCCAATTAAAAACAAGCAATAAACCTAAATAGCTTTAAAAGAAAACATGCAAGTAACCAACAGCCATATGGAAAAGGTTCTGATCACTGATCAGTATGGAAATTCCTGTAAGCAATACAGTGAAATGTCACACCACTCCAGTTATAATGGTTTTGTCAATAAATCAAAAGATAATATGTTTTGGCAGGAATATGCAGAGAAGGGAATATTTAAACACCATTGGCAAAAATGTAAATTATTACACTTGTTATGGGAAATAGTATGGAGAGTTCTCAAGAATTTAAAAAAGGGACTATTATGTGATTCTGTAACCTCTTCTATGCCTATATATTCAAAAAAATGAGAGTTTTATGTTAAAGGAATATCTGCATTCCCGAGTTTATTGTAATACCATTCAAAATGGTTAATAAATGGAAACATGTGTCCCTTAGCTGAAGAATGAACACTTGAAATATAGCACAGAAGTGCTACACTGAAATAAAGAATGACAGTCACAGAAAGATGAATATTTCATGATGTCACTGATTTGTAGGTTTATCTCACAGAAGTTGAGAATAGAATACTGTTTACCAGATTCTAAGGAAGAATCCTTAGATTCTAAGTGGGGAGAATCCTTAGATTCTCCCCACTTTGGTGGGGAGCTGATCAATGGGTGCTAAGGTAACTTAGGTAAGAGAAACTAATTTTGGAGTTGTATTTCACAATGTGGGACTATAGACAATAATTTGTTATATTATTCAAAACAGTTAGAAGGATGTATTTTAATATATTAATCAAAATAAATTATTATTGTTTCAGGAGATATAGTTATCATGATATGAACATTACACAGGTATACTAGTGTCTAAATATTACATGGTACCCATAAAATGTACAATTTTTATGTATCAAAAATTATGAAAGGTAGTTTTTCAGCTAAACTAGATATGAAAGCAGATAGAAACTTGTATCTACATAAAGGATTGAAGCCTCTTGGAACTGGGAAATATGTGGATAAACAGAAAGATTTAATTTCTATTTCATAAAATGATAATGTACTGTATAAATAACAATGGGGTTTATAGACTAAGAAGAAGAAAGATACAGAGAAATTTTAGAAGAAAATATAATAGGCGAAGATAGAAACAGTGTTACATATATAATGTTCATATATAATATATGAGGTGGTATAACAGGCTCATATATAAAGTATGAGCAATGAGGGCTGACCATGAAAAAGTCAATATGAATTTTAAAAATCTTACAGAACTTGCTAAAATATAAAAAGGATTGAGTGAGCAATTCAACACTGAAAGCAAGATAAAATAATTGGAATAACTGGTAAAAGCCTCAGATCATTCAAAGAAAGAAGGAAAATGAGAAATGGAAATATACAGCAGGATGATAGATTTAAACTCAACCATATCAATATTAGTCTAACTACAGAGAGTCTGAAATAGTCTAAGTAAAGGCAGACATTTTTAAAAATGTTTTTACAAAAGGGAGGACAAAATCAAGTACATACAAAGGTACAGCTAGGTATATAAAAACAGTAGAAATATTAATTAGACACTAACCAAAGGACAACTAGATTGTCTATATTAACATCAAGGAATGTAGATCTCACATTAAGAAAGATTTCTGATGATATAGAAAAACACTTTATAATGCTAAAAGGGTTAAATTCTTCAAGAAAATATAAATATCATAAATGTATTTAATCACAGAGACTGGAAATGGAGGAAAAAAAGTAATAAAACTGAAAGATGCAATGGACAAATAAAAAAATAAAGTAGATTCAAGACTCTTCTGTATAAAATATAGAGCAATTAAACTCACAAAATATGCTGATGGAGAGGACTTAACATTAAAAAGCTCTTTAACCTAACTGAAGTTTAGAAAAGACCCCAATCAATAACATCTGAATATGCAGTGCTTTCTAGTTTCTAGAGCTCAATTTACTACCCATGATCATATTCTTGGGTATAAAATAAGTTTCATAAATTACTGAGATGGCAGTAGGAGGAACTGGATTTACACAAGCACCTGAGACAACAAAAATCTCAACCCAACACACAAAGAAAGAGCTTTACAGAGACTGGGTATCAGGAAGTGAGGAACAGGACCCTTGAGGAATGGGAGGCACAGGAGGTAAGCGCAACGCCTGTGCAGCTGGACTCCTTTCACAGTTTCCTGGCTGTGTTGTGAAGAGAAAAGCTCCAGGCAGTTACCAGTAGTCACACTGATCTGTAAGTCTATGAGGTCAACGCAACTAAGGGTTTCAGGAAAAAGTATGAGTTGTTCAGGGCAATGGCAGACTTGAAGTAGAGCATCACAGTCACTATTTCTTAGGGTACGCTTTCCTTATATAAGTGTAGGTGAGCAAGGGACAAATTTTCCAGACTCTTCAGTGATACAGATCTGTTTCAGTCCAGCTATAAATTAAGCCTTATCCCATACAGAATATCCTAGAGTGGCTTTAGATATTTTACCTCAAGCTTAAGGAACAATGCTCGTGACCATAAGTAGACTTATTACCGATATACAGGCACATCTTATTTGTACAATAACAAGAATTTTACAATATAGTTTCTTGATGTTTTGCTTTCATATTACACAGAAACATAAGATATTTATATATATAGAACTAAGATCTTGGATACTTACTATTAGTAATAGTGTCTTAAAATTTTTAAAATAAATTTTCATATCCTATTTTTAAATGTTTTCCCTTGCTTTTTCTTATAAGACTTATTGCTCCTCATCACACATTGAGTATGATACACAGTATAACACTGCATGGAGGTAAGGAAGGGAGACATTTTTGTTGTTTTCCCCATCGTAGGAGAAGACTTTACGTGTTTCAATGTTGCATATCATTTTGCTTAATCTAAAGTCAGGGAACCCTAAGAATTTTTAAGATATTTTAAAATCTACTCAAATTTTCTCTTACAGTGACGATACACATGCTTTCAGGCCTTCTTGTATGTAAATGAAACGTGTATTTCTAAATGCTACTTAACAGGCATTACCATTCTTTTCACATTGTTGATTTAATAAGCAAAATTTTTTATATATATTTTGTTGACTTACACTGACAAACATATTAACGTATATTTTTCTTCCTCAAAATGCCTTTGGGTTGATCATACTATCATGGTAAAATGTATCATCCAGTTACACAGATATATGATATTCTGATGACATGAAAACTTTGTACACTTGTTAAATGCATAAAATGTCTGCCAGACAGGCAAACTTTTGTAGACTTGTTAAATATATAAAATGACATGATTATAGATATACTGCTGAGCCATAGACTTTAATTATGACAACAGTAAAAGCTAAATTGATATTAAAAATTATTTTACAGATACATAGATATAGATATGTAGTATCATATTGTTCACCCATAAGAAAAAATAAAATTTTGTCATTAGCAATCTTATGGATGAACCCAGGGTACCTTACGTTAAATGAAATAAATCAGAAATGGAAAGACAAATATTTTACTGTAGGATTTTATATGTGGCATCCAAAAGAGTCAACTTCATTGAAGCAGATAACCACTGAATGACTGCCATGGGGAGAGGGGAAGGGTGATATTAGTCATAGGGTATGAACTTTAATTTATAGCACAAATACACTCTGGCAACCCAGTGTAAACTGTCCTAACTAGAACTCTATCGTTTACTTCAAATTTGATGAAAGAACACATTTTCAGAGTCCTCATCACATACACACACAGATGGTAATTACTACCTGAACTGTATTTGTTAATTTTACAGTGGAAATAGCTTGAAATGTATATGTATATAAAATCATAACATTGTGGATCTTGAAAGTATATATGCATATACACATATATTTTCATTTAATTAAATATTTTAAAGCCTGGCAGGGCATCATCACATAAAGTTAATATTTAAAGACAATCCCCATAAGCTACTTGGCATAAATGTAACTAATTTGTGAATGAATTATACATTAAAATTTAAAATGTCTGTAACAGAATTTAAAGTTCTAAATAAATTACTAACTTAGATGACTTAATAGTATTATTCCACCTACTAAGCCTATTGAACCACAAACTCATCAGTGTTTTAACCTATTGATGGTTTTAGAACCTGGAAGATCCCATCTCCAACAGAAGGAAAAGACAACCCACAGAGCGGTAAAAATTTTAGCCAGTCATCCCTCAAATAAAGCACTTCTGTCTAGAACATATAAATAATTGGAAAACCTCAGACCCACGATATTCAAAGACCAAACCAAAAAATGGGCACCTGAGATGAATACACACTTCTCAGATGAAGAAGTACAAAGGGTAAATAAATATATGAAAAAATGATCAACATCATTGGTAATTCAAGAGATGTGAATCAAACATTGAGATTCCAGCTCACTCTAGAAAGAATGGCTATCATCAAGAAATCAACCAATAACAAATGCAGGAGGGACTGTGGGAAGAAAAGAACCCTTCTCCACTGTTGGTGGAAGTGTAGACTGCTGCAACCACTTGGAAATCAGTACGGATATTCCTCACAAAACTAGGATTAGAGGTCCCGTTTGAACCAACTATTCTTCTCCTGGGTATTTTTCCAGAAAAATTGAAAACATCACACCACAATGATATAGGTGCACCCAAATTTGTAGCAGTGCAATTTGTAATAGCTAAATCTTGGAAACAATCCAAATGCCTATCAACTGAGGAATGGATAAAAAAGTTGTAGTATTTTTATACAATGGAGTATTACTCAGCAATAAAGAAAGATAAACTTGAGGCTTCTATAGGTAAATGAATACTAGAGACCATACTCATATGTGAAATAAATCAGACCCACATGTGTAAACATCATATTGTCTCGTCAGTGTAAGAAACTGAAAGAGTAAACAAGGTCTGGAAGGTACAATAGATATTGTGAAAGGGAAATTAGCAGCTCAAAAGGAAAGAACAAATGGGATGAGGGAAAGGAGAAAAGAAAGAAAGGGAAAATATATATAAATAGGTGATAGATAGATAGATAGATAGATAGATAGATAGATAGATAGATGATAGATAACTAAGATAATTGTACTACTAATTTCTGTTGGTTTATTCAAATGGCATAGTTTAAATCAGCTTGATATTCCTTAAGATAAATCCTTGCTCTTAACACATAACACATTTAGCATGTGTTATGTGTTAGAGTAGAAACAACTCCTACGTCTTAAGGAAGTCAATGTCTAAGAGGCGGAGGAGTAGCAGTCATACACTCAAAACAGAAATGGGCAAAATAATACATGTTTTAAGGGAGAAATATGGAGAGTACTGTTTGGAAAGAGTTGCTGACTTGCTGAAACTGCCAGAGAAAATGATAAGGAGTAATCAGGGAGGAAAGAGTGATAACTAATTTATATATTCATACTTTCTATACAGAAAAGAACAATTTTTTTGGTGTCTTTTATTTTGTTCTCCTTTGTGTTTTTGGCACGTGTATGGGTTTGGGATAGACCACACACATTTAGCTGGGGTAGGGCACGTGCACCCTTTAAAAATAAGAGAATTAAAAGAAGATTCAGCAGAATGAGGCAGTAAAAAATGGTAGTAGAGGGGCTGGGGATTTAGCTCAGTGGCACAACGCCTGCCTGGCAAGTGCAAGGTCATGAGTTTGATTCCTGGTACCGGAAAAAAACAAAAACAAAAACAA